TCCCTTGCCAAGAGTAGTATCACTAGTTAAATACTAATTTTATCCTTTACTATTTACCACATTGTCTACTTTTATTTAGAAGTTTTTACACTATTTGAATTGTCTGAGAGCTTTGTAAAGAATTAATTATTAGAAAATAATTCTTCTAATAATTATACTTTCTTGTCTATAGATGTTCTATAATTTTTTAGTCTATAATATTTTAATATTTTCCATTGTCTCTTCTCAACCAACTTCTAAGCACACTGTCACTAGGATGATAGATATATGCCACCACAACCAGCTTTTTTCCATTGAGATAGGGTCTCACAAATTTTTTCTTCCCTAGACTGCCCTGGAGCCATGATCCTCTTATTCTCAGCCTATGACTATCTTGGGATAACAGGCGCATACCACAGAACTCAGCTATTGATTGAGATGGGATCTGGCTGACTCCCTGCTGGGGCTGGCCTCAAACTGCAATCTTCCAGATCTCAGCCTCCCAAATAGCTAAGATTAAAGGTGTGAGCCACAAGCATCCAACTAAAAACGCACATTCTTGTGCCCAGCTAAAGCTTTTCTCCTATGCACACCATATTTTGAAAAATATTTCTTTAGAAACACTGCTTAGCTCTCTGTCTTGTCTCTCAGTCCCTTATTGGAATACTAACTGCCTGAAAGATGCAAATCAGGCCCCCTGAAGGAAGTAGAGGCTTTAGCCTATTGTCAAGCAACAGTAAGAAAATTCTCCCCACCCTTCTGTGAAAGAAAGTCTACAACACTTTATAAAGTTTGGAAGCTACCTCACAAGGTTTACCACCCCAGAACTTTGGTTATACAGTTATGTACGAAGGGGAAAAGGTAGCCCAGGCTGTATCCTCCCAAATACAGTGCTTGTTCCAGCCTTGGCACTCAGTAGCTAAGAGCAGTGATCAGTACATATTCAGTGACTGTAGATAAGTCTCATCTCATATACATATCAGTCCAGATAAATAATTTTATTCCTCGGTTCTAAAATAATGTGAATCCATGAACTGCATACTAATGGTTTAAGAGATAAATGTATGGTCCCAAAGAGAACTTACTTCCAAATTTTGTGAGTTAGCTATAGGAAAAAGAAATACTAGTGTGAACAAGAATCTGCCATTTATAAACGAGAGCCATAGAAATAGATATGTTATCTGCTGATAGGATATTTTGAAAAAAGACATGGATCTGAAGTATTGGAGCCCCAAACTAGATCAAGATGCTCATGACATACCTGTTTTTTGGAAAGTGGTGATGATCAATTACTCTTGACTCTGAATGTAGTTTCTAGTTCTCTGTAACTTTCTAGAACCACCTCTTCAATTTGAAGCAGAAACTAGGGTAATGTTTTCAAGTATTTTCCATTAGATGAGACACAGAAAAAACAGAAGTATGCAACATTAATCCCATCCTAGTACATAGTCACTGGCCCAGAGCTGGGGGTCACTTCATTAAGAGATAGGAATGCTTTCCAGTTGTCCAAAGTGGTCACATCCTTATAGCAAAAAATGTAAATCCCACAATTAAATAAATATTCCCAGTACCATATTAGAAGCAGAATTACAATTCAAATGTCTGTTGTGGCCAGTCAGGGAGTAACTAAGGGAAGCTGGCCAAGCAAGTCTAGACTACAGAAGAGCCAGGAACACTCATTCCTATTTACAGGCAAGAAAGTCTCTGCCTCACCATTGGTGCCTCTAGAGGTTATAAGCTAGTGAATTCTTGTTCTCTCCTCTCTTCTCCTCTCCTCTCCTCCCCTCCCCTCTCCTCTCCTCTCCTGCCCTCCTCTCTCCTCTCCTCTCCTCCCCTCCCCTCTCCTCTCCTCTCCCCTCCCCTCCTCTCCCCCCTCCCCTCCCCTTCTCTGTCTCTCTCTCTCTCACTCACTCTCTCTCTCTCTCTCTCTCTCTCTCTCTTCTTTCAGGGGTGACCAGGGCTTCTCTTCACTGCAAAATAGCTTGTATCAAAAGCAAATAAGGCAGATGGAACCACATTCCCAATACTTCCCCCATCCTTTGCATTCACATTACTGAATAGGCAGGTGAATAAAGAGAAACTCCATCTTGTGTAATGCAGTACTTTAAAAAAACAAATGTTCTTACATGCCCAATGATTATTTTGTATGCCTCATTATAGTTGAATTCTCCAATGGAAAAATCATAAAATCTTATATAAATTTCCTGCTCTTTTAATATTTCTCTAATTCAGTCTCAAAACATGTAGAAAAAAAAAGAAGAAGAAAGCCCTTAAAACTGTATCTGTAGGCTAGATGTAGTCCTTAGGCCACCACTATATGCCATCAACATTAAATGAGTGAAATAAAATGCCTGAGTAACCTACTAAAATCTGGCATTCTATGAATCTACTAATGAGAAATTTGCTCTTTGCTATGCAAGCAATGTAACTGATAAAACCAAGACAGCTGCTAAACTCATCAGTTGTAATTCACGTTGAGACCTCAAGAGCAGATCTGTAAGACTGTTAGGGAGTTTACTGGGGAAAAGACATATAAGCCACCCATAGTCAGCCTATTGGGAATCTTCAAATTGCACATCAAGCAAACATTATTTACTCAGTTTTCAGTAAAACTTTGTGTGATAATTCATGCCCATAGTGACATTGGTCACAAGGATGAATTGCAGAAGTAGAAGCTGAGTATACTCTTAACTTGGATGATAAAATACACAAATTGTTCTAAAAGCTATATATTCTTTTCCCCCTTTTAAGTAGACTCATTTAATTTTAGTACTCAATCTGAATGAATGACAAATTCATATTTCTTTGATAGTGCCTCTTGATTTCATTAAGGTCCAAAATAATAAAATCAGCAATAGACTTTTTTAAGTTAAAATGGTACTAGCAGACATTCATTGGCTCCTTCATTTTACAGAGCAGGAATATGCAGCTTGACCAGAGTCAAATGACAATTAACAATTAAAATCCAGTTCCTTCCGTTCCTTTCTGAAAAGAGAAGTGGTATCTGAGAACCAGATTTCTCCACTCTTCAACAATCACTTCCTACCACACAAGGGTAGAATTTTGAGTACAGAGAGAAACACAAAGACAATTTTTTCAGACCAGCTTTCTTCTTACTTATATTAGCTATAATAATTTTAATTCAGAATGTTTCCAGTTTTCCAAAGTATTTATGCATGCATTAAGTAACTTTGCAACTCCTAAACAATCCATGAATTAGGCTGGGTGAAGGTGTCCGGCTCAGTTTTCCAATAAAGACATTAAGGCTGGATACACAAGGCGCTTAGTTAATGACCGGCTGAAGTGAGACCTGGTGAATCCTCTTACTACTTTCCAGTGCTAATTTTTATTTATGCCACAAACACTTGCATATTTCCTGAGCATCCACTTAGTACTGTAAACAAAGGCTTGCCCACCCTTTTGAAGCATTATTGAATAGGGTTAAATTCATCTTGAATGACTTTATGGTGCAAACAGCACTGGTCTTGCATGTAACTCAGTTAATAAGGTTCATCAGAATATTTTCTTAGGTTGGACATGGTGGTGCACACCTTTAATCTTGGAACTTGGGAGGCAGAGGCAAAAGGATCATGACTTCAAGGCCAGCATGGGTCGTATAGCAAAACCCTAGCTTAAAAAAAAAAAAAAAAATTTTCTTAGGAAATCATTTGTGTTAATTTATTTTCAGTTTCACATCCTCTACTTCTCCTGGCTAGAATATTTAAAGATTTATTAAACAGTCTTCTCCACTCTCCTTTCAATGATATGTGCAAGAGGCATAGGAATGTGGCATCTTCAGTATGTTTGGAGTCTTGAAGAACACTCCTAACATTGGCCTACAGCAATTAATACATGTGCTGGTCAAGCATGATGATTTCCAATATCAGAAAGAAGAATACTAAAAGTATTTTATTAGGGCTCCCCTCCCAACTCAAGACAGTGCAAGAGTAGTTAAATATATTCAAGCATGCATTGATGTGTTGTTCTGTACTTGGAGGAGTAGATTAAGCTATAATGAAGGTTTTATGATTAATTAATTGTTCCTAAGTCATTCTGTATACCCTCATAGTACTGAGCAGTACAGATGGATTTGTTTGTCTCTACAAAGGGAATTTGAAGTATGATTTCCATTGGATTTCCTTTTAACCCTAACAGATCTTATGAAGGAAGTTTAATTACCCCAATCATAAAGGTGGGCACACTTATCCCAAAACTTGAGACTAAGAAACTTGTACCTTTAACTGAAACCTGTATCTTTGTAGAATCTCTGAAATGTGTTCAGAACACATTGGTATTATAGCTATTTTATGGGGTGTTTGAGGTACAAATTAGCATTCATTTTACACATAACTTCCTTACCCTAACTCACAGCAAGACTTCATGCCTTTTGTCCCCATTGTCAGTTCCTTTTCCTGAAACCCTCCCACCCAGCATCATCCTCCATTCCCTCTCACAGGGGTAAGAGTACATCATTGTGCTTCTGAAGAACTTTTGTATAAGGGAATTAGAGATCAAGTCCTGTGCTAATTCTTTAACAGAAATTGGAAATTAAGGCAATCTTATTCAAGTTGAAAATTCCTACCCTTTGTATTCCATGAAAACTTTTGAAAATATTTATGAATTAGGTTTGCTTAAAGTCAAGCCTACCTCAGAAAGAAAATTGTTTTTAAACTAAGTCACTCACTTTTTTTAATAAGCAAAAGGAAACATGACTGTGAGGATAGTTATATAATCTAAAACAATGTCTATCCATTCCAGGCATAAATACCATCCCATTCCTCTGAGTTTCTCAAGAGTGAGACTAGATTGTAATGTCAGGTTTCATTTAGAGATGGGTATTCCTGATTGTTCTGATTTCCTCTATATTTAGGAACCTGAGAAGCCAGAGAAATCTGATTTCGTGTAAGTCACTAGCTGAAATGAAGCTACATGCCTTTCCATTGTCTGAGAGAAAATAGTGTTTAGAAAGAAATATATTCAAAGTGCCGCAGTCTTGATTTAAGTGCAGCCGTTCAGAAAATAGCTAAAATACCTTTAAAACTGAAGGCCAGCATTGCTGAACATTCCTGGTATCCTCATGAATGCATCTACATAAGGAAGTCAGAGAAAATGTCTAGTGATACAGATTCAAGTTCAGCTGATGTCGGCAACTATAGTGGTAGTTCTCATTGTTTAATGATGTTATTCAAGGCATTACCAAATGTGCCAGTGTTAAGAAACCATGTCACATGACAGATATTTAGCATAAGAGAAGAAATAACTTAGGGGTTTGGGATCAGTATGTGGAAGGGGCAGTATACCAGGTATCTTGGACAGCAGGACAAAGATGAATGGTTGAGTGGTGGTGCACACCTATAATCCCAGTTACTCCAGAGGCTGAGTCAGGAGAATCGCTCCTAGCCCAGGAGTTTGAGGCTTGCCTGGGTAACATAGCAAAAAAAGTTAAAAATTAAAATTAAAATAAAACAAAGATGAATGAGTGAAAACTTTATGGAGATGTGTGAGTAGAAAAGACTGAGGTGAATGGCACTGCCACCTGTGGGCAGGGCCCCCTTTTGAGATTGGTATGTTCATTAGATGAGGCTGGGGACTCCATTGTGGATACCAATAAAGAATGTATTAGATGGGAGACTAAAAATCTGTATAGTTCTCAGACTGGATTACTCTTTGATTTTCCAAATGAAGATTATAGAAAATGATGCCAGCCCAGTAGTGTCAAGTTTCTCAGCCACACTAAAAGTCCAACAAGTAACTACAAATTCTTCTCATTCAGGAGCACAGCACCATGCAGAAGTTACATTGCACGCAAGTTGACAAGATTGTAGCACAGTATGACAAAGAGAAGTCGACTCATGAGAAAATCCTAGAGAAAGCAATGAAGAAGAAGGGGTAATAAACATTGTTTACTTCCTTTTGAAGGTTTTCCCGTTTTTATATTTCAGCTTTTCCCACAATGTTATTGTCAGTTTAGATCAAGGAAGAACTTAGTGTTAACTCATTAAATATTACTCCTGGAAAATAAAGAGTTGTTTAATTTAAACACTTTAGCTTCACAACAGGGCACAGTGTCAGTCCACTTGGCTAGGTTTGGGGAAGGATCTCAACAGAAATCTTGAATCCTATTAACTCATTGTAATGAGTTATAATATGAAAAAGAAGTCTCAGCCCCGAAAAAAAACTTTTCTTCTATGAGAATTGGTTGTAACATTTTATTGTATAAATAATTTTAAATTTACAGGAAAGTTACAAAAATGCAGTTGTTCCCCATTATCTGTAGTTTCCCTTCCTACCATTTCAGCTACCCACAGTCAACCGCAATCCAAAAAAATTAAATGGAAAACTCTAGAAATAAACAATTTATAAATTTTGAAGAACTTTAGTTATAATATATTTTATAATTGTTCTTTTTTATTATTGTTGCTAATAACTTAACTGTGTCTAATTTATAAATTAAACGTTATCATAGGTATGTGTGTATAGGAAAAAAAACATAGTATAGTTTGGTACTACCTGTGGTTTCAGGTATCCATTAGGGGTCTTAGAACATTTTCCCTGTGTATAAGGAGAGATAACTATAGTACTGAGTTCCCAATATGCCCCTTAACTCAACTTCCATAAATGTTAGTATCTCACATAACCAGGAAACTGGCATTGGCACAATGTCATTCATTAAATTGCAGTGCCTTTTCAAATTCCACCAGCTTTTCCACTAATGCCCCTTTTCTGTTCTGTTCTGGGATCTATGTGGAATGTACATTGCATGTACTTTGTTCTCAGTCTCAGCCTATTGCAGATTCTCAGTCTCTCCTCAGCTTTTCACTTTGGAAGAGTGAAAAGTGATCTTTTTACTTTGGAAGAGCACTGCTCAGTTATTTTGTAGAATGCTTCTCTTTTTGGCTTTGATATTTTCTCATGATTAGAGAGTTTATGCATCTTTGACAAGCACGCCACAGAAACAATGCTGCTTTCTACTCAGTACACGATCTAGAGGGGCATGCACAGTTGATAAATTTCATCCATGAAGATGTTGATCTGGATTACCTGATTAACATGGTACCTGACAGATGTCTGCACTACAATGTTAACTGTTTTCCCCTTTATAATAAAGTACATATCTTGGGGGAAAAAGAGACTGCATATACTCAGTTGCTAAAATATCTGTGAAGGGAGAAACAATTTCTAAAGTGGGATCCATTTCTAGAACAAATACAAATGATCTTTGATTGAAGATGGTTCGAATTACAATTTTCCAGCTTTATGATGGTGCAAAAGCAATATTCACTTAGTAGAAATTGCACTTTGAATTTGAATTTGGTAGATTGTTTTTCTGGACTGCCAATAAGTGGTATGATATTTTTATGCCCTGAGTAGTGTCTCCCAGCCAGTCATTCAATATGTAGAATATCTGCAGTGTTGATAAACCAGGACGTTTGATATGTTAGATGGATTGAATGTATTTTTGCCTTAACAGTATTTTCAACATGCGATGTGTTTATCAGATGTGACTCCATCATAAGTCAACAAGGACTTGTAAAAGCTTTTCTTACTCTTTCTACTCAGTGAAGGGAATGATTGAAGTGGAAAAAGGGAACTTTCTTCAAGTACTCTGCAATGCAACTTTTACCTAATGACATGATAACTATGTCTTTCATGTGTTTTCTACTCAATAGCTTTAAGATGAAGAAGAAAGGTAAACGCGAGGAAAAGAAATGACATGCTAGAGTAGAGAAGATTCAAAATTACAGAAAGTATTTTACACAGCCAGAAAATAAATAATAAGGCATTGTATATGAGGAACAAAAACACAGTTTTTTTTAATATAATGGGAATCCTTAGCTTATGCCAACAGATAAGACTTGAAAAAATCTGTTACTGCATTTGCTGTGAAAGATTTTGTCTACAATTAAGCCAGGGAAATGTTTCAGCACTGCCAAATTCACTGAATAACAGATGAGAAAAGAAACATTCTTAGAGCCAGCCATTGAGGAGTAATACTTCTGAGAGAATGCTCAGTTACTATTACAATGAAGCTTTCTGACTTGGCTATAATAAACCAGAGTATACATGCTGAAGAGAACAGCTCAGGACCTGTCCTTGTTTCAACAACGATATGGAAAGGAAAACATAATCACTGGGATAAGCAGTAACGGCTGCTGGGCCATTGCCTAGCATATATTTCCTATTCACAATACAATAAGAAACAAAGATTACCCTGTGATGCCAAGAAATGCTATTTGCTCTCACTGGCATGTTTAAGAGATAAAAATCTGGCTTCACAACCAAAATGGAAGAATTAGAAATTCACTTGAAAGCTAAGGACCTATTTTCCAGTTTTCATCCCAAATGATATTTTGTTGAATAAATGAAAAATAGATTGAAGAAGAACAGGAACCAAAATGGAAACTGACAATAGGCCCTTAACAATGAAATAATTGCTAGGTCTGAAGTTTCTTTGTATAGTAGTTGAATTGAGCAATCATGATATAGAAAATTTTTGTAAGGTATAAACCTATTACTAGAAAAATTGATGCTGTCCAATGAACCAGGGCATCCCATATTTGATGAATATATTGTTTTCATCAGAAAGTCTTGTCATAGACTCCCAAGGGAATTGGAAGATATCTAATTTCTAGCATGCGTTTGCAATTTTCCATTTTCAGGGGAAGTAATTGTCTCGAAATGAAAAAAGAAACAGAAATCAAAATTCAGACACTAACATCAGATCACAAATCTAAGGTAAGAGAAATTCCCATTTTTACAGAAATGACTTGCAAAAGATACTTTGTAGTTGTTTTTAGAAGGGCTACCTGGTATCCATCTGGTACCAATCAGGAACAACAGTAGCCTGGGGCTGGTGTGAGAAGAAGAGATCCAAGATTCACGTGTGCTCCCCATTTATTGCCTTGGATTAGAGACACTGTATACAGCATCTGCTTTGTTTGGTCTGTGGGAAATATGCTAACAATAAATATGTTGTCTGACTCTGAAGAATCATGTGATGCATGAAGTGACACAGACTAGGAGAAAGTACAGTACAAAATACAGAATATAGAATATACTTTCCTATAGAATTAACAATAAATACATGACAAAAAACACCCAGTTGGGGTTGTACACATTTGGAGGCCTAAATTCTAAGACTTGTAGAACACAGTTCTTCCAGAAATAATAAATTTATAAGAAAAAATTTCTTGACCAAAACTACAGATGGTTTGGCTCCGTCATTCACAGTGGCTCTGCTGCATGCATGGACAAGCCATGCTTTTGTCTCCGACTTTCTCACTATGTATTGAGTATGGTGTGAACTGAAGGAGACAATAAACCATGTATCTTTGAAAACTGTTCCCCCCTCTTTAATTTGCATACTTGAGAACTAATTCTTTATGCAATTTTCCATGAGTTTTAGATCCCATGCCTAAATAGAAAAGTAGAAACCTTGGCAATGATATCAGTTTGCTTTTGATGCATAATAAGCTTCCAAAATATAGCACCTTAAAACAACTACCACTTATTTGCACTAGTGGTTTGGGCTATATTCTTCTGGGTGGTTCTTCTAATTTTGCTCAGCTCACTTATGTCTAAGTGAGCTGGTGATGGCTGCCCTCATTTATCTATCTGATGGCTGGCTGGCTATTGGTTGTCTTTTCCTACATGACCTCTTGGCCTCCAGCAGGCTAGTGCTGGCTCAGTCACAGGGTACCAAGCACTTTCCAGGCCTCTGCTTGCATCACGTTTATATTGTCTCATTTACTAAAGGGAGTCAGAAGGTCATCCAGATTTAAGGAGTTGGAGAAACAGACTCTAGCTGTTCATAGTGGAGCTGCAGAACCACATTGTAAAAGTTGTGGATACCAGGTGGGGAGGACTTCCTGCCCCTGTCTTTACCTGACAAACTAGTAAAGGAATTTAATTCAAGGCATAGAAAAACCAGAGTATACGAAAATTAGTAAGCAGTGAAGAAGCAGTTCACCATTAAATACTAAGAGCTAAAGTGATGGACTTGTTTTTTAATAAGCAATGACTTCCTAATTCCCAGTGATTAACACATACTGGTTTTTGTTGGTGTCTACTGATTCCCCAAGTAAATTGGTGGGAGGGATCTGAAGTGCAAGGATAATATTCTGCTTCCAGTTTACACCTCACTGGTGAAGCTGCCAGATGACATCATCCCATTTTCCCCAAACAGGTCAAAGAGATCGTGGCACAGCACACAAAGGAGTGGTCAGAAATGATCAACACCCACAGTGCTGAGGAGCAAGAAATCCGGGACCTGCACCTTAACCAGCAGTGTGAGCTACTGAGAAAGCTGCTGATCAGTGCTCACGAGCAGCAAACCCAGCAGCTGAAACTGTCCCATGACAGGTAGGAGGGTCTGCCATCCCCTGCATGAAGTCCTGTCTTTTTTAAAAGGTTGGTGTGTGTGTGTCTGTGTGTGTGTGTGAGCACATGTGTCCAAGGTGATAAGTGAAATCACCTTGACATAATATTGACAGCATTTATGTATATCATGTCATACTGTCAATGTGAGGAGCAAGACAAGAAATGGCTGCTGCCACAGAGGGCTCCAAGTGTTGACAAGATACCAGTGTAGCTCCCAGAGTAATTCTGATCACCCAGTGGCCCACTATGGAGAGAGCCTCCCTTCCCTTTACATTAGTTATTCAGACTTCTTTTTTTATATAAATTTTTGTTAGGATATATTCATTATGGAAGGTGGGTTCATAGTGACACTTCCAATCAGACTTATATTGTACATTAGTTACATTGCCCCCATTGTCTCTCCCCCTGGGTCCCCTCTCTGCCCCACTTAAAGCAATTGTAAGAGGTTTCTTAGTTCTATTTCATATAGGTATATGCAGTTCATCAACCATATACCATCACCTTAATTTCCTTCCTTCACCCACTCCCCTCCTACTAGTACCCCCCTCACACATACACACTGTACCTATTTCTGTGAATTTTAGGAACAAAAGAAACATCAGTTTAGTTTGCCTCTTCCTGCTTTCTCAAAGTGAATGTTGCATTTGAAATGCTGCAGGGTAAGAGCTAGACTTTTTCCCCGGGCAGAAGAGTGTTTACATCAATATCGTTTTTCATCATAGGTTGGTTGCAGCTTTCTTGCTTCCCACTTAATGCCTACCATCTGCCACAGTTTGGATCCACTGATATGCAATAGAACAGAGAACACAGCATTATACAAATAAATCTAACCAAAAAAATAAATAAATAAACCTTTTTAAAATGCCAACTGCATAAATTGTCTGGATGCATGCCCAAATTCACAGCTTTACTTTGGAATGCTAGAGAAAATATTTTTCCCATAGTTTCCAGTTCTCCTTTGAGGCAACTGAATGAGGTGTATCATGCTACATTTCCTGTAGGGTAAATGTCATATACCCCATACAGCTGCAAGCATTCTCTCTAGTTGGATAGGATTAAAAGTTGTCTTTTCTTTTTTGTCTTAGAAATGTTCTCAATTCAATATATGAAAATAGCCTGTTCATCATTCTGCCCTGACCTTTGCTACAAGGTCAGGCTTTAGATGTCTGTTCTTATTCAGATACACTTCACAGCATAAGGTACTTCCTAATCATCATTGCTGTAGTCTAGTGAAGAATTTAAAAGTCCCAAACAGTAGGAATTATCTGAAAGAAAGAAACTAATCCTTGCATCACTTAAGAAGTGACTAGGTACTAACCTACCTTAAAAAATAAATCCATGGCAGGAGCATCCTCAAAAGCAACAGCAGCATTGAAGTTTTCCTCAAGTACCTGGTGGTGGTGTTTCATTTTCGCCATCACAGCTGTTGTTCTTGGTTAAACATTTTTGCTTTCTTAGCACTTGTCAACAGCATTTGGTCATAAATAGTTTACCAGCAAAGTGTGGAAAAATTTGAGAGTGACTTCCTTGGTTAGGTCCAGATTTTCTAGTGTATTTCTGTTGCTCTAAGGTAGCTGACTAAATGACTCTCCATTTCAGCATTGTCCACCCCCTCGCCTTTTTGGGGGAAGTACTATGATTTTGAACTCAGAGCTTCATGCTTGCTAGGCAGGCTCCAGCCCTTTTGTGCTTTAGTTATTTTCCAGATGGTGTCTACTGTTTTTGCCTGCGACCAATCTCAAACAGTGATCCTGTGCTTCCAAGTAGCTGTGATTACAGGTGTGAGCCATCATGCCAAGCTTGTACGTTGAGATAAGATCTTGCTAAATTTTTACCCAGGCTGATCTCAAATCTCCATCTCCTGATATTTGTCTCCCATGTAGGAAGGATCTCAGGTGTGAGCCACCATACCTTACTCTTGTGCATCCCTTTTGATGCAGAATGAAGCACTATATTTAGGTAATCCAACTCTTTGGCTGCTCCATCCAGGCAGGCTTTAAGGAGATCTCCAGTGGTTCCAGAAAAATTCTCTGGACTCATATTTATCTTGTGTTCTAAATTATATGCATTTATAGTACACAAAATAATGTAAAGATAAGAATACTTGTCAGGCATATATGCATGCACTCGTATGGTGATTAGTCTTCTACAAACATACTTTTTTGCTATTTCATGTGTTTACTTGAAGCTATTTAGTTCCTTTTGTTACCATATATGGCTTGCAATAGGAAGGTCACTTGTGAGACTAGAACATCATCTTTCTCTCTCTTTCACCCAATTTGGTCTCAATAATGTGGAGGCAGAGCTCAGAATCATTATTTTTGATGAAGTCTCTTCTTCCCAGGTCACCACTGCCACTTGACCACGAGGTGGCTCCCTGCCCTGCCGGGATCCATGTCCACAGGAGTTGGTGCTTTATCCCTCTTTTTTCCAAAATACATACAAAATAATTAGAGCTTGATTTTTTTTTAAGTGAACCTAGTCCCATAGTTGTACACAGAATTTGTATTTTTGTTTATTGTTATATTCTAAAACTATGGTTAAACATACACAATTTAAAAGGTACCGTTATAGCCATTTTTAAGTATGGCATTCAGTGCATTCATACTGTCATATCCTCATCTCCACCATCCATTTCCAGAACTTTTTCATCTTCCCCAAGTGAAACACTGTACCCCTTAAACACTAACTCTCCATTTCTCCCTCCCCATTTGTTGTTTGTTTTTCATTCATAGGGAAAGCAAAGAAATGAGAGCCCACCAGGCTAAGATTTCTATGGAAAATAGCAAAGCCATCAGCCAAGATAAATCTATCAAGAATAAAGCAGAACGGGAAAGGTAAGTCTGCAGATGCTCACTGCAATTATGTCATTGACTTGGAGACAGAGTCTCAGCAACATTTATGTTTGTAGACACACATACTCACACCTGAGATATGAAACACTTGTGGGTTATAACTAAGAATCCTGCTATAGAAATGCTATGGTGATTTATTATTACTGCTATAGAATAGTAGTCTTCAAAGTTTTCTGATTGTTTACTACCACCAGTAAAATAAATTTACGTTCCATAATATGTGTGCCCATTTACAAACAAAAATATGTAAAACATGACCCCATGATCAATACACTTCCACAGCATCCTACCTGTACTCCACAGGGTCACACTGTAAGTATCTCACCTGCTCAGGTGTAATCACATTCTGGATGGGCAGTGCTGAATGGCAAGAGGGCTGTCCTCTTCCCTTGATTTGCCTTGAGTTTTCCTTGATTCCAGGGATCATCTTTAAAGTTCCCACACAGTTTATCTGATTTGTTCTTATGTTATGTGAATCTTTCAGAGAGACCAAGATAGGAATCCAATTGTGAGTGACTTACTAAGAAAGGGATTTTTGGTGAAGGGGAGTAGGAGAGGCAGAATGGAGCCAGAGCAGGGCCTGAATAAGGGTTATCAGTAGTCATGGCATCCATGAGAGGGAATAAACAGCACTTGACTGCCAGTGATCACAGGTAACACCTCCACATCTGTACTCATCATCTAACTCTGAGGCTCAAAAGGCCAAGAGCTTGGGTTGGTAAAGAGTTGCCAGGGACCATGGGGTTCCTTCTCCTGAAGGAATAACACCTGGCTAAAGGTGGGCTACTGCTGGAGGCTATGTCCAACTGAAAGGCTGTATTTTGTGCCCCATAAAATACTGAGCACAGTGAAGATTAGCTATTGGGGATTAAATCGGTTGCAAATCATTCCTTGCTGTATGAACCACAAGCTAAGCTGATAGAGAACTTTGCAGTCACAATGTTCAGCCTCCATGTTTCAGCTCCTGGCATTTTGTGTATGCTTACTGAATACCTGGTGATTGCTCTTTGTTTCAAACAAGGAGGACTACTATCTAACTGCCTCAACATTGTTGATTTTAAAACACATTTCAGTTATTGAACAGTACTAAGTATGTTAAAATCAATATATGATGAAGTATAAAGCATCATATTCTCCAATACATCTATTGTGCTGAAAATTTTTTTTAGAATAAATGCCATTCAGAAATAATATGTCCCCAATGGGAAATGGAATTCCAGAGTAATTTTGGCCAGGACATGAAATGCCTTTTCAACACTTTAACCAAGACATTTCTCAATCAACATGGAGTTATATTTGTGTCTCACGATAAGAAGGCCCTAGGGAGATTGTTAACCATTTGTATCAATGCTTATTTGTAACATGATATTACAGTATCTCTATGATTCTTATTTATTTTTAAGTTACTTGATTAGCAAGGTTTTCTAAAATGTGTTTTCCTTACTTTGACTTATATTTATTTATTATAACTTTGTATCTCATGAAAGGTTGTTCTAAACCATTAACAAATGGCTATTTTAAGTACACACACACATACACACACACAGGAGGTAGAAATTGGTAGTATTGTGGTTCAAAGCAAATTCATTGAAAAAGTTAGTGAGACCCCCCCCCAGCTCAACCAACAATTCAGGTGGGGTGGTATATACCTGTAATTCCAACCACTGAGAGGCACAGGTAGGAGGATTACAGACCAGAGGCAAAATGGACAAAAATGCAAGACCATATCCAAAAAATAACCAGAGCAAAAAAAGACTTTGGGCATGGTTCAAGTTGTAGAGCGCCTGCTAGCAAGTGCAAGGCCCAGTTCCAGTACTGTCAAAATTAGTGAATAAGTAAAAATTTAAAGTAATATTAGTAATCACATTTTGTGTATAAACATACACAAAAATTGTGTGTTTTTCCTTTTTATCATACTGCTAAGAAATAAAATGAAAATAACATTAAGAAAAACCTGTAGAAACTTAAAAAGTTCTATTCTTGGGTAAAAGTAGAGATTCCAATAGAAATGACACAAACACCATTTATCAACATATAGAAGGTAGCTAAAGTTACATTTAGATAAAAAGTATTGTAGAGTTTTTTTAATTTGTGAAAATTAATGATATAAGCATGCAAATAAAGAAAGCATAAAGGTAGAAAACAAAGTAGACCCTAATATCTCGGATGGAAATAAATATAGAAAATATTGAAATAGAACAAAAACACTAGAGAACATCCACAAAAACAAGTGCTTCCTATCTGAAAAAGGTGATGAACTCAGTAAAATTTCAGCAAGACTGATCAAGAAGTAAAAGAGAGAGAAAGCACAAAATAGTAACAATAGGAATAACACCCAAACATAGGTATGTGGAAGTACAAATTAGAACATCTGCTTTGGGGTAAAGATAGGGTCGTCCATATTCTACAAACTGGCAGGTTTATATTTAGAGAGAGATTTTGCCCACATTCTCAAGAATGTGTGCCTTAACTTCATTTATTTATTCAACAGACACTTAATGTGTCAATTATTGCAGGACCTTATGCACCAGATCATTGTGGCACTGTTTGAAAATAACCTACTTTTCATAAATGGCAAAATGGAAATAGTCTACACAAATGGGAAGGCCTATACATCATATCAAATCACAAAAGAGTTTGAAACAGACATGTCTCTAGACTCTTAGTCTCATTACAAAATGATAATTATAGAAAGAAACACAGAATATATTACTCTTCAGGTAAATTGTGAAATCACACAAAGAAATAGCAGCAGCAGCAGCATTCCCTGGAATCTTACTAAAAATGCAGACCCTTGGGCCTACCTTGGATCCACTGAGTTGGACTCTCTGGTGGGTGGGCCCAGCAATCTCTGTTTTATAGTACCTCCAGGTGATTTGTTTGAACAGGAAAGTGTAAGAAGCACTCAAATATTAAACATGGACGCATCCATTTGTAGTTAAAGGTGTTAAAATGTGGATGAGAAGGTCCACACCAAATTCGGAAGAATGATTACCTCCTAGGAGAGAAGAAGGAGAAAAATACGATCAGGAGGAATACAAAGGAAGCTTAAATTATATCTATAACACTTTATTTCCTTTAAATATATGGGATTATAAATCAGGCACTAGTCACTCACACCTGTAATCCTAGCTTCTTGGGAGCTGAGATCAGGATTGTGGTGCCAAGCCTGCCAAGGCAAACAGTTAGCAAGACCCCCAACTCAACAAGAAAAAGATTCGGTGTTGTGGAACATGCCTGTCATCCTAACAAGACCCTGTCTCATAAATAACTGGAGCAGAACGGTCTGCAGGCATGACTTAAGCAATATCATGCCTGCCTCGCAAGTGCAGCCCTGAGTTCAAACCCCCAGAACTCCCAAAATTCAAAAAAAAAAAAAGAGATGGTGGCAAAACACAGTATTGGTTTATCTGAGTAATACGTACACAGGTGTGTTTTGTGTTTTTTATATGTATGTTGTATATTTGAAAATGCTGCAATCAAAATTAGGAAAAAGAAACAATATTTCTCTCCAGATAATTAAATGAAGTGTTAATAGTCTATTGAAATACTAACTCCAATATCGTGCCAACTATTACTTTTATCCATTTTTTAGGCGAGTCAGGGAGTTAAACAGTAGCAACACTAAAAAGTTTTTAGAAGAAAGAAAGCGAGTAAGTATTTTATAATTTTCTTGACACTCCTCCTTGAAATAAAACTGTAAACAATAACTGATTCTTAGATACAAGTTGTAATTTGTTAATTTACTTTCTTGGTACATTAAGCATTCCAACTTCTCTGCTCCCAGAAAGAAGTAGTTTCTTCCTAAAATCTTTAAGGTGGTTACTTTTCATACTATTTTATACAGAAAACGAAGCCAAGTTTCATTTCAGTCATGCATAAGTGCTTTATTATTTTCTAATATTTTGTCAGGAAAGATCTTCCCAGTAAAAATTATGAGTCTCCACTCTCCTGTTTTTCAAACTGTTTTTCTTTCCTTTTGTTAAAATTATGATCTTCCCACTTAATTTATAAATTTTTAAGTAATTCCTCATCTATAGTGTTAAGACTACAACACAGAGTTTATCAGGTTTTTTGTTCGTTTGTTTGCAGCTTGCAATGAAGCAGTCCAAAGAAATGGATCAATTGAAAAAAGTACAACTTGAACACCTAGAATTTCTAGAGAAACAGAATGAACAGGTATTTCACCTAAAATACATGAAAAGATATTGGCAGCCAGCTTCAGGATGTCAGCAGTATGAACCACAGGGACCCTTCTGAAAAGCCACTCACCTGAGTAGTACAATCAGAAGGTGGCTAGAGGGATTTTCTGTCTATTTTATTGTATTTCCTTCAAGAAAAACTAAAAACAAAAAATACCTTTTGGGGAGTGGGAAAGGAAAGTGGCTGTGGGGGAAAGGATCACATGATTAGAATATATTATATATTGAATATGTCACGAGGATTCTAAGACTGACAATACTGAAAAGGAAAGGACTTGAAAACAGAGGTTGCAAATTACTTACCCATTTTCATTTAGAGTTGAAATTTGCAAATGTAGAGGCAAGTAATATATTTAAAAGCAAATGCGAGAGTCACCTATTTTCAATGTCAATCTAAAAATGAAGTTATAGAACCTTCCTAGGGCTTACACTTCTCTATAAGCAATCCAAATGAGTGGACACCATCCTTTGGTGTTTTCTCCCAGCAAAGCAAAATACTACTAAGAGAAGTACATACAAATCAAGAGTTAGCCAAACTCCAACTAGTGATCAATTAGTCAGCTACCTGGAGCCTAGTACAGGTGTGCTCCATCCCACATGGGCTGTGTCTCCATCAGCCTTCCACAGAGACATTTCAACTTGATGGAAATTCTTCGGGCCTATATGGCAACAAGCTCTCAGTAAGCATTTAAATTTCAGTCTCTCTCAGTTCAAATTTCACTCTTAAGTTGTAGTTGGTTTGGAAGTTATTCTTTCTAGATAATTTACTTCAATTTAGAAATTGTAAAGAGGATTTTATGAAATATATACTTGCACAATCCTATTTAAGATATGTTTTTTTCAGAATAAGTGGCTCCCATTGAAGAATACTTAAGAATTACTTAAGTATGAGAAATTAAAACCATAAAATCTTTTTGTATTTTAATTTGTTAACAAATCCAATTTCTGATTTCATTTTCTTTACTTTTTGATGGACAGAAGTTTTATTCATCTACATACTTCTGAGTTGTTTCATGCTTCCTTTTTAGCTAAGCACTTCTCTTTGTGAATAGTTTACCCGTCCCCAAGGGAGACAATACATGGTTATTGCCCCACAGGTCCAACTCATTTAACTGACATCATATTTGGGTACAAGTTATGTAATTTGTTTTTGCTCTCAAAGTGATACTCAGAAAGTATCTCTGAGGAAATATGAGAATGTGATTAAGGATAAATTTACCATCTTCAAAGTTTTAGAACCCTCTTCAGTAAATCAGGGATAGGAAAGGATAAGGATGCCTTTGGGAAGGTTTTGTTGGTTTTTTGGTTTTTTTTAATCCTCCTTAGAGGAAGGGCATGATGAAAGGTAAGGCACAGTTATGTTTTAACTATCTAAATTAAGAAACTATTTTAAATTACTGTGTTGCTTAGCAACAATAACGAACAAATGTGAATGTGCTAAAAATTACTCATCACTACAATAGTGATGTGGATCAGAGCTAGAGAATACAGTTGTCTCATATTGCTAGGTTCAGAGCATAATAAAGAAATCACTTTGAGCTTTCATACTAATACACAGGTAATTCAAACCATCTCAGAGTTCTTGCACTAAAATACTGGATTAGTGATAATAGTATTAATTTGATCATACTGGAGGGTACTGGCTTTTTCTTAAAATGCACATAATGCTTTTAATATGTCATAAGTAATGTCTACCACCCACAACTGATACTTTGAGTCACAAAATCTCAAGGAAGAACAGAATATGAAAAAACTTGTGACCTGAAGATTTGATGAGATTTAAGAAAAAAAATTCAAGATATCATTTTGATGCTTCTGACAAATACAGAATTTGGACTTGAATTTCTGTGTTAAACTTTACTTTACAAAAATCATAAAGACTGAATCCGTGATTTTTCTAGTTTTTTATTTTATTTAAAGGTCAGAAAGCACTCTATTCACAGTTATTCTGTGTGGTACAACACTTTCATAGGCACAAAGCCAAAGAGATAGTGAGTCCATTTCTTCCCTAATAAAAGGCAAGGTCTGGAACCATGCTGCAGAACACCATTCATACCAATTAAATATTCCTCTAGCAAAAGCAGTCCCCTGTCCCCAGACAACTTTTACACAATCTCCAAAAGCACTGTCAACTCTCAAGACACATTTTTCTGTTTGTAAAGCAAAGATAAATTAATTTGAACAGCCTTTCACAATGTCTTACTGTTTCCCTATATTCCACTATTTCTATACCTTCTCCCAACCATCCTCTGATATCTCAAAAGTAATTACCTAGACTGGTGTCAGGAAACAACTCAAGTGGTCATATTTTTGGTCCTGATTTTGAATCCTAACCTCATGTGTCCTTTGTAAGACACTTCATGGCTTTGCCTACTTAGTTAGCCACTTATTTACTTAAAAGTCCACAGGCCAGAGGCTTTTATTTTTTCTGCTCAAGTTTTCCTGTAGACCTCCCAGCAACACAGTATCTCATCTGTCTTGACATGTACCATTTCAAACATTAACAACTCCATTACTGTCACACTTCAGTCTTTAAAAATTGATTTTTGTCATCAATTCTATCATTTAATAAAGCAAAGTGAAGAATTTAGCTGAAAGGGAGGTTTTTTACTCACTCACACAGAAGAAAGGCATAGTCTGGTCTAATAGGCATTGGTTGTTTGTTTTGTTTTTTTTTTTCTGTTGAAATCAGCTTGGGGAAAGTTTGTCACTGATAGGTGTATACATGTTTTACTCTTAGCTTTTTGCTTTTCTATATATGGTTTTGCATTCATTTCTCAAATTCACTTCAATATTCATTTATTTTCTTTGTTTTGTATGTATGACTCAATTTTGACATTACTATTTTTGTATAAACAGCTTTTGAAATCCTGTCATGCAGTGTCCCAAACGCAAGGTAGGACTGAAATTCTGATAAGCAAGACATTGTTTTCTTCTCAGCTACATCAGTATTCTGGGTACAGTCTCCATTTGTGATTCACATCTGGTCATAACTAACTAATATCACGAGGGTTTGGACTTAACAGCTTGAATTTCTGATGAAATAAATGCCCCAAGTCTTTAAAGAATCACTTCTGGTGGCATTTTAGCCAGTATTTCCAATTACAGATCTGGGAAACAGGTCATGTTAATGGTAACAGCCCAGACATGAAGAACAGTGATATGTACTTACTGTATGTACCCTCCACAGCTATGACTGGGCCACAGAGTCAGATCGTTTACATATGTTAATATGACTGATTAATATGTTAATTTTTAATGCACCCCACTGAATGTTTGTTGGTGGTTTTCAATGGCAGAGAGTTATGTTCTGTGTGCAGAAATGTTATACAATGTCTTTTGTCATTGTTTTGGCTAAATCCAGTCTGTCAAGAACACTAATCATCCCTTATAAGGTGACCATATAATTTACTGTTTGAGTCAGAAATAAGAAATGTTTGAGAAAGAGAGCACTGTTCATAATAGCCAGGCATATGCTGGAATTATCCCAAGCAAATGGACATGAATGGTCACCTTGCTCATACAAGGACTTATGACAGTCTTGTGAACTCTTGGAACTATCTTTTAATGTCATATGATTCTTCCTTCTTAACTGTCTTTAATATTGTATTTAAATGCTAATGGGGAGAATTGTAGGAAATCTTTTATTACTATTTACTGAACATCAAATTATTTAATTTCCAATGCTGATAATGTTCCACTGTCATCTCTTATGGATACTGTTTGTGTCATAGTTTCATGTTTGTATATTTTTCTTCATTTCTTCATTTTTTTCTATTAGAATATAACTATATGTCAGGCATAAAAAGTTACCTGGGTAGAGGGAACCATTCATCCCAAATTTATGCAGGTAGATATAATTCTTTGGTGTTATTATATCATCTTCACAAAAATGAAGTTGAAAGCCACATATAAAAAGAAAAGAAAAAAAATTCACCGTATGGTCAATGGGTTAAACTGATTTTGTCACAAGACTGCATTTGGGAGATTTAGATGCTTCTAGTATGAACTAGAGTTGACCAAACCCTCCCTCTGACTTTCAGTTTAGCTAGAATAACAAAGCAGACATGAACAGAAATATCAGAACACTTCAGAATCTTCCTCTGATTTGTATCTTTACACGTTATGTTTTCATTCTTATATGTCCTTTATTTCAAAGTGATATATCACTAAAAAAGAAAAGGGGTATTTTCTCATCCCTCCAAAAGGAACAAAGCATACAGGCTATCAGTTGGAAAGTAAAAGTAGAACTATTTCATTTTCCCTGTATTGCCACGTAATTACTTGTCACGAGACCCTGCCTCCTTTTACCCCTTTCTACCTTTCAAGTCAGCTAGTTGTCTTAGTGACAGTCTTAATTCATGAAATTGAATTCAACATGGCTAACTTCCTGGCAGTCCATAAAAAAGCAATTACCACAGAGAGATAAGCACCCCCAGGAATAAATTTGGATAATAAGATTCCTAGAATCCTACATATTCCTGTAATGTTCTATTTATAAGACACTCCAATATACTATGCTTTTACCTGACTCTCCATCAATTAGATTCTTAGGAAATTACTTTTAATTAAATTTCAGGCTATTTGGGGAATAAATTATACATAAGCAACACTTATTCTGAAAATCATAAAATGCCTATGCATAGTCAAAGCAATGTGTCAAACTGTAGAAACTTAAAACAGTTTGATGTGACATAGTCAAAATATCAAGTCACTGGCTCAACGTATTTTCAGGTGGTTTTCTTGGAACTATGTAGACCAATCTTTCTCAACCCTTAAGGTACACAAAGATTTCATGGGGGTCTGGTTAAAATGCAGATTCAAATTCAATAGGTCTTGGATAAACCAAGATTCTGCATTCCTAAGAAAGTCTCAGGCAACGCAGATGCTGCTGGTCCATGGGCCACACTTTGAGTAGCAAGGATGTAACGACAATATCAGGCTTGGGGAGGGGAAAGAGGCCAGGGTTATAAGGTGCCTTCAGTAGAGAATTTCAGCGTGTTTCTGATGTTCTAGGCGAAGGAGGTGCAGCAGATGGTGAAATTGGAAGCCGAGATGGACCGCAGACCGGCAACAGTAGTGTGAAGCTCCAAAATGCAAACTGAAGCAACAAAACCACAAAACACCAGATCATTCCCAACTTCTGAACACAAACTCCATGGACAAAAGCATTTTTCTTTTGTGTTTCCTTTATGTGTAGACAAGATGTTACCTGAAGCCCAGAGACTTGGGATGACTTATGTACTTCTGTTTAACAGTTTGAGTATTGAGTTTCCTTGGCCAACCAAAAATAGCTATGAATCCACAAAAATCTCCTCTTCTAGTCAGGCAGAGTGTAACCATTGATAATACAACTTAAACATGTTTGCCATAAGATACCATCACAAGTAAATGAGCTTGGTGTTAACAACTCTGCTTTGTGATGCATTAAAACATGTTTGAGCTGCAGCAAAAATAGTGCATTAGCAATTTAATGGCAAGCGCATGCACTAAAAGAAAAACAAAAACTCTGTCTACATTAGCAGAAGTGGTGGTCTGCTAGGCAAATGGTTTTCCAGAATTTTTCTATATCTGAGTTACCTCATCAGTAAGTGCCATGTCTTTACCATGCTATAAGAAGCTAATTTCCTATAAAAGTTTGTGGAAATCATTAGAACAATAGAGAAATATAACAGAAGAGTGTACCTGTGCCAAAACTCATCATTGCTCAAAGGGGAACTCTGTTAGGCTCATTTAAGAAAGTTTACGTCTGACACTGCTTTATAGGAATTGCTTCTGCAGATCCCAGATATTATAATTCACTATTACACCGTACAGATTGTGAAGTGGTTATTGGCAAATGTTTGTAAATGTGACCATGTATAAAGTATTTATACTCCTTAATTCACACTGTTATAGAGCAAAATCATCTAAGTATTGCCACATGACAAGATTAGTAAACAGGACTACTAGAACTATGTTTTGCATGATAAACAAGCACCAATTAAGACTAATCCGTTCAGACACAGTTAACCTAATGCCAAATAAACACTGGTTAAATAAATGTATGGCACAGAATATAATTTGACTATGAAGACTTTTAGCATTATGAAAAAGTCTATATATAATGTGTATATGAATTATGTGGGCATTCTTGATACTTCAAGTTCTAGTTTGAAAAAAATACATAACTAATTTAATTTTACACAAGAATATTTATGCAGATTTTCAGAATTTCATATCAGGAAATAACCTTTTTATGTCTGTTAAATATCCAAACAATTTGCTACAGTGTTACTCTGCATGGTCTTTACGCCTGCTATAGTTGTGTTGCAGACAGCGCATGAAGAAGTACAATGCTGGGAATTGAGCCATGCCGCCACAGCCGGGAGGAGCGCATGGAGACCTGGTAGCCTAAAACTAATCAGAGTACTGATTTTAAGACACAAAATGCCAACCAAATTGTTGTATATGCTTGTACAAATTGGTTCTGTGTGTTCCTCTGAACAAAGCAGGGAAAATGATATCATCAATATTGAAATTCAACTTCCAACTTCTCTAATAAAAAATGAAAACACATTTAACACTTGTCAGTATTTGCATTCAAGATGTTTTCTAAAGCTTACTTTATGCTTTCCATGGTTTTACCACAAATGACACAAAACATGCAAGTTCTGCTTACTTTCAAATGTAATGGGCTTGTTTTTCTCATGCTTATTATCTGAACTGTCTTCTACAAAAATTTCTCTGGTTCCTCGTTTTCCTATCTGTAAAATAATGGAATCAAATTGTATGTCTTTCAGGACTAACATCCCATGAAAAAGAGTGGTTAGTAAAAAATGTGACCACATGTCATTTACACATTTTCAAAGATTTTTGTTCATCAAATCACATGGCCTTTTCCAAGAGCTCAGCTGAGTTCTCTATTCTGTAACCCTGACTGAATTTGTCACATGCCTCTTGTCTCTGCTTTTGAGAGGCACTATGAATTTTCCCATTTTTCCTGATCATTTCTTCTCTGGTTTTTCATCCTCCTGTGCCATCATAAATATATTTTCAAATGTTATATCCTGAACCAGTTTTCCCTTTTTTTTTTAATCTTACACATTGTCTCTGAGACCTGAAACTGAAAGCCACCAGAGTTTTTTTCTTTAACCAAGACTACTTTCAGTATTTGAGATATTCTACCCCTAACCTATCCATTGTAGTAGGATTACAATACACTCAGCTCAAATCTACAATAAAAACATGTGCTTGCTATTATGAGCTCATATTACTCCCTAACACTGCATTCTCACTGACTAGGAAGAAGAAAAATTGCCAATTAAAGTAACTTAGTCTCTTATAGCTTAAAAAGAAAAAACTTTATTCCAGGGACATATTCAGTTACTTTAATGTCAAATCCCTGTTTAGAGGTCCCTCCCTATTCAGGAGATCGTCCTACCTCTTTTGCCATATGGAATCTAGCTGTACAGGGAAGCTGTGTCCTGGCAGCCTGGAGTTGCATGTGGTCACCCTACTGTTGGGGCCAGTCCTAACTGCCCTTGACTGCAGCACTGCACAGTGTGCATTTCCACCACCATGATTCAAGATCAAGGTCGCTGCTCAATTTATTTCAGTGTTCTTCTGAGATTTGCAGAACTTCTGGATCTTTGGGGGCTATGGAGAATCAGCCCCCAATGCTAGCTCAGATCCAGCCATCAAAACAATTCCTTTGTCTGTCTGTCAGCTGTGTCATTGTGTTGCTCTTCTACCACAGAAGCTTCTAAATCCAAGAGGCTTGACGTTTTGTAGCACTCTATCCCAAGAAGTGATACACTATAGTTTCACTAAGCCCCAAGACTGTCTGGTTTTCTGCTGTATCTTGTGCCTCCTACACCCAGGACTTTTTGTTCCAATTTGGGAGCCAGGTCACTCAAGTCTCAATTCTTACCTTTATCCTTCCTTTCAGCCCAGAAAAATTCACTGCTCACTCCTGACTGACTAGAATACCCAAACAGTAATACACTTCCTCTTTTCTACATAGATTGTGCTTCCCCTTTTGGAGGGATAAAATGCTGCCTGGAAAAGGAACCAACTTGCCAGGCTAGAGAAACATATCAGGAAGTACCATGTTTCATCAAATCTGAGGCAACATTTGTCATGGCATACACCATTATTTTACGTAGTTGACAGAGTGAAAACATGCTGCTATTTGAACTATTGGCATACCTTCCAGTGATGTTTTAGAACATTATTATTTACTTATTTTGCAGTGCTAGGGATGGAATCCAGGGCCTCACACATGCTAGGCAAGTGCTCTACCTCTGAGGTGCATCTCCAGCCCCGAGTTATTACTAAGACATACCTCAATTTCAAAGATGACAAAATGTGAAGAATATGTGCACTTGAGAATCCATGAAATATGTAGTATTACAATAACATTATAGAGATTCTTGAAACCCCAAGCCTTAAAGAGGGGAAAGTTTGAAAGATAAGACACAAGAGAAACCTTTATCAGAAAACCTAAACTAAGGAACAGTTTTTATAACTCAGTTTCAGATTTAGCAATGAGCTTCCTGGAAAGTGATTTGAAAAGTAAAAATAAATCTATATTTCATAATCTGTTCAGAAGTCTGACTACATGTTTTCCATATATTAGCTGTATTATCCAATCATATACCTTCAAATTATTTACACTTCTATGTACATAATTCTCAAATCTGTAACTTTAGCCTTGTTCTTTCCTCCCCAAAGTTCAGATTCTTCCTTTCAGGTTATCAAGAGTTAAATAAACAGCCCATATGCACATTACATATAACTAATAAAGTGCAGAGATCCTTTCTCCATCTGTTCCCCATTTGTTTTAATAGTCCATAACCAGTGATAAGCCTTGGGGCAATCTGGTTCTGCTACATTTCATTTGCTCCCATATCCAATCTGTCCATAAATCCTATGAATTGTGTCCACACTTAGAAGCTTCCCTTTCCTCCTTACAATTTCTTTCATTCCTTAACACCCAGAATTTTTAGCTTCCTATTAAATTTCTTTTCCCTTCAAATCCCTGCCATATACAAATTAATTCCCCCCAAATCACAACTCTAGTCATGTTGCTATTCTCTCATAAGCAACAGAATCCCTATCTACTGTCTGAGGAATAATGTTCAAATTATTGATAACCGCATTCAGTTTCTAGCCCTAACCTGCTTCCACTCCTAACCAATCTGGATTTATCACTATTCTCTGTTCACAAACAAGTAGCACATTTTTTCTAGCTGCCTTACATATTATATTCTATCAGTTATTAAGAAGCAAACTCCAAAAATGCCACTTCCACAAAGCTCCCTTTTTCTCCCAAGCCATAAATAATTTTTCTTAATGTATGTATTTGTACTTTTTAAAGTGTGGCATTTAAGCACAAGATGTTTCCTTCATTCCACATTAATTTCTTCTCAGGCTTTCTTCATTTGCTTTCTGGAGAACAAGTAGTCAATGAACTACTTGAATTCCTTTCTGTAAGGTAAAATTTAAGATTTATGACTATGTGGCTTCTTGAACAGAAAATATTTTGAAAACCTGAATGAAAGTCTAAAGCTTTATATAGTATGTCTTGTCAATTCCAAGAAAAACAGTTTTCCTCAATTCTGCTAGCATCCTTTTAAAACAACTCAACTCTCACAAAGGCTATCAGGCATTTAACGGGTGGACCCATCAGCAGTAAGCAATTATGAAGAGTGAGAAGGGAACACTGCTATCATTCTATTGTTGAGGGTGTTTTAGGAATGCCTCATTTCACACCCTAAGTAGCTTCTCCTTCATCATTTCTGATAAATCTAGTAAAGAGCCACACTTTCTATGTTTTTTTTAATTTTATTATTCATATGTGCATACAAGGCTTGGGTCATTTCTCCCCCCGCCCCACCCCCTCCCTTTCCACCCACTCTGCCCCCTCCCCCCATCCCCTCAATACCCAGCAGAAACTATTTTGCCCTTATCTCTAATTTTGTTGAATAGAGAGTATAAGCAATAATAGGAAGGAACAAGGGTTTTTGCTGGTTGAGATAAGGATAGCTATACAGGGCATTGACTCACATTGATTTCCTGTGCGTGGGTGTTACCTTCTAGGTTAATTCTTTTTGATCTCACCTTTTCTCTAGTTCCTGGTCCCCTTTTCCTATTGGCCTCAGTTGCTTTTAAGGTATCTGCTTTAGTTTCTCTGCGTTAAGGGCAACAAATGCTAGCTAGTTTTTTAGGTGTCTTACCTATCCTCACCCCTCCCTTGTGTGCTCTCGCTTTTATCATGTGCTCAAAGTCCAATCCCCTTGTTGTGTTTGCCCGTGATCTAATGTCCACATATGAGGGAGAATATATGATTTTTGGTCTTTTGGGCCACGCTAACCTCACTCAGAATGATGTTCTCCAATTCCATCCATTTATCTGTGAATGATAACATTTTGTTCTTCTTCATGGATGCATAAAATTCCATTGTGTATAGATACCACATTTTCTTAATCCATTCGTCACTGGTGGGGCATCTTGGCTGTTTCCATAACTTGAGCCACACTTTTTAAAACTTTTCTTTGATGCTTAACATTTAACAGAATCTGAAGCACACACTTTAATAATTGCATCTTTAATATAATAAATCCAAAGTGTTGCCTCTGGGATGAATATTTATGAACTGTCTTCCTCAATATTATCTCATGAAAAATGTTCTGCTCCATAAGTTAGGTAATGAAAGGATATTAGAGGAGGGAGCAGGGAGATGGTTTAAAATAATAGCATCACTGCTTTTGCATTTAAAAATAGTAGGTGTCTACACCTATCTCAATAAATGATATAATCCCTCTACCATTCCTCTGCTCTCTTCAGAAGTGGCTTTCCTGGAAATTTGAAATGAAGAAGAGTTTCCAAGTTGCTTCATCCTGGAAATGTTTGAGTTTCCACCATAATATGATGGTGGAAAATTTGAAAAAACAATTATAGGACTGGAAGTGTGGCTCAAGTGGTAGAATGCTTGGGCAGGAAGCCCTCAAGTTCAATCCCCCATACAAAAAACTTGGAAAAATTTTACAAGAAGAGCCAATTTAATACTACCACTTACACCATGATCCTAAAGCATTGTGGGAATTAGAATGTACCAAAAACATGATGGGAGGAGGGAGAATTATTTAACTATTGGGTCCTTTCTCAACCTTCACATTACATAATGTGAGTGAGGAAGTGTTACACTCTTTACCCCTTCCGGGCAATATATGTCATTAATGGTATTTTTAGTAAGGTGTGATGGTCCTAACATAACACACTGACCTCTACAGGCTGTGGCACTCTGTTATAAGTGGACATCTACTACCTTAACCAGCAAGTGCAGATGGTTATATTGGGCATGTCTTCGGCATTGAACTCTATTTATTGATCACATATTGATTAGGAGCCCACGTTTGTCCTCTTCGCTTTCAACTTGTTTTTGACTAGTAATAGTAATGCACTAAAATTGTAGCACCAAGCTATGCTCATATGCTAAATAGATTGGGTTAATGTCCCCACATTTTCATGCCTTCCTGTTCCATGTCCTTTGGTATCGCCCTCTCCCACTGACTTTGAATTTGACCACATGGTTTG